AAAGCTCTTGGAGTGTTGCATAATCACCAGTCTGCAAAATGCCACACATTCCAGGACCTCAAGGACTGCAGTGTCTATTTGGGCTAGAGTATTAAAGGCCCACATTAGGCCCATTGGTGAGCAATGCAGCTGCTGGACACTCAGTGGTATCAGCGTGGGGATACCTCTGGTCCTGATCAATGTGTCACACCACTTTTTTTGCCTAGCAATGACTGCTTTCATGTTCTTTGTGGTATGCTATGGTTGTGACGTTGAATCTTCGTACACGACCGGTCTACAGTATTTGTAATTATGTTTTAATTGTATAATTACCTGTAACCTAAAATCTCTACAATTCGTTATGTTTTCCTTCCCTTTGAGTGAGCCCTTTTTATTCACACAGAGAGCATGTCCTCCTCCACAGAGTCCAACATGTTGCATTGTCATGTTTCTAAAATATCCCACAATGCTCACACCCAACGTTGTCTCTTCAGAGTGCCTTTTGTTTTTTTCTGCTGGTGTATGGTCTCCATAAGTTCTTCTACATGCTTCGAAAAGCAGTGCTCAGAGAGATGCAATCTGCAGCCTGACCACTGGATGCCACTAAATGATACACATTGGTTAAAGGTGACAAACAGATTTGTTCCTCTGATATGCTGATTGAAGATGGATGTGTCACTGCTGAGATTTAGTGCCTTGCTAATAGTGTCAATGCTCTTTCTTTTTCCTTTCCTTTTTCTAGGCATTTAGAAGATGTGGTGTTTGAATGCGGCTGTGAGATCCGGTGGCTGCAGCTATGGCAACAGAGAGGAGAGGCGGGGCTAAGCAGCCAAGAGTTATACTGTGCGGATGACTACAGAAAAATATTGCTGCAGGACATGAACATCAGCAATTGTGGTAAGATTGGAGTGCAAATAGTAGCACACAAACAGACATGCCTAATTTGCACACCTTGGCTTTTTTAATTCTGGCTTGTGACACTACTGACGAATGACAGAGCTTGGGTTACTCTGTATTTGTCTTCCTCTCAAGAAGTCCTGCAAACAAAAACAAGAAGACAAAAACAATACTAATAGTGTGGTAGTCCAGGATTCACGTGTTTTAAAATGGTTTCCATTTAAAAAGTTTCAGTTTTTTGAAAAGCTTAGGATTTCTAATTAATCTCGGGGAAGATATCTGATACGTAAAGAATACTTGTTAACAGGACACGTTATTGTTGCTTTGGTTACACAGAATAATTTTCTTGAATTTGGTAATTTATTGAGAAGGAGAAAAATATTGAAAAGCCTTAAACTTTTAAATTAACATTCTAAGCCACGATTTGTGATTCTGTGGATTGGACGTCATAGACCACAGCTCAGGAAAATCATTATTCATGAAGCTGCAATCTTCTCCGTCTCAAGTCTAGTAGTTGTCTGCTACACTGTGGTTGCTTGACAGTGATTCAACAGATCTTGGGAAAACTGCATTTTCCTATTATGCAGCTTGGACATGAAACAATCTGCAAAAACATCTAAAATCAGGAACATTTGTGTCTCCTGATGAGTTGTTGGCATCATGAAGAATTTCGTCAAGGAGAGATGTGATGTTTTATCACAAAAGCCACTCTTTAACAAGTGTTTTTTGTGTGTATTGTAGAATTTTGTACATAAGAGTGTATATGTTGCATGTTAATATTCGTGTCTTGGCTGCCATTGTGACCAAGTAACTCTTTTAAAAGAGAACTTTGACCTTGACTGGATTTATTTGTAAAACAAAGGTTAAAGACAATAATAAACTTTTTTTAGTACAATTAGTTCTTAAAATGATGTGGTAAAGCCCCCATCCAGTCACTGATTAAACCAGAAATTGCTATAATATTTAAACTTAAAGAACACAAAACACTTTACGAGGTTGTTGGCAGATGTAATGTTTTGTATTGTGGAGAATAACAGAACTCATCACGATTTTTAAAGGAGAAGGACAAACAGTCAGGAACTCACACAGTTCAGATAAAAAAAGTCTACTGGTGATGTAAACATGTCTTCTTAGATGGAATTAAAGTCTCGACTTTCTGATCCCTAACGCAATCTTCACACATCTAGTTGGAAGTCACACCACTAACATTTAACAGGTATTCTAACAACAGGAAATGCATAAACCCAAAATGAACTAAGTGAATTGTGTGCTCTCAGATTATTAGTTATTTATTTGATAAATCATCGGTTTGTTTTCAGTTAAAATAGGACAATGAGGAAGCCTTATCCTGCAAGTGGACAGTTGTTTCCTTGAGTTTGTTACATATCACCATCATCATCACGACACTGCTGTTTCAACCAATACAGCAGACAATAGGTAGGAAGTCTGTGAAATACAACAGAGTGAGATTTTTTAAGACTTTATTTTCCTGGTTTGGTTAAGAAAAACTTGAGTGAGCTGCTCAAAATCTTGACAACAACCTTGGGATGAGTGGTAATACCAACTCTCAGCCAACATTAACCACCAGTGCCTGACCTCACTAATGTTCCTCTTTCTGAATGAGAATAAATCCCTACAGCCACTTGTGAATCACCCATCTTGAGTGACTGGCTATTCTCTCAACAAGCACCCTTTTCCCCCCAGTTCACGATGTAACAGAAGCGTTGAACTGAGTCGGAAAATGTAAGAGCTGAAGGGAAAAATATTTAAGATCAGCATTATGAGCAGCTCCTGGGATCACTGGTCCAAATGGGACCTATTCCATCATTGACACTGAGCTGAGTTTTACTGCTGGAAACCCTTGGGCAAATGTTGACTAACAAATTGCCAATTTAAAAACAGATTTAAGATACTGGATGAGCTGGAATTTCCACCACCAGTACACCAGCAGAAACCCCTGCAGCACAATTGACAGCTACAAAAAATGTAAATGAGTTGGAGATGATCAAGAGATAGCTAAAACTGCATCTGATGGTGAATGTATTGTACCATTTCATGTTAATAAGAAACTCTTAGCTATCTTGATCTCAACAATACATTGCAATTATACGTTTCCCAGTATTTGTTGTTTTCTACAACAAATGTAAATATGAGCCTACAGTATTGCACATATTGTTTTGAGGCATTATCCAGCCATCCATTATCTATACACCGCTTAATCCTCATGAGGGTCGCAGGGGGAGGCTAGAGCCTATCCCAGCCGACTTAGGGCGAAGGCAGGGGACACCAGTCTATCACAGGGCTACACTTAGAGACAGACAACCAAGCACACTCACATTCACACCTACAGACAATTTAGAATCACCAATTAACCTCAACATGTTTTTGGACTGTGTGGGAGGAAGCCGGAGAACCCGGAGAGAACCCACGCTGCACGGGGAGAACATGCAAACTCCACGCAGTAAGATTCCAGTGCACCCACCGGGACACCAACCGGCGACCTTCTTGCTGCGAGGCAACAGTGCTACCAACTGCGCCACCTTGCAGCCCATAGAGGCATTATGTAGTATGAAATTTAGACACACCAAGACCTGGACCAGTTTCTGACTTTAAGTCTCTCTCTTCTCTCTCTGTGTCTCTCTCCTTCCAGACCTGCCAGATATCAGTGTCAGCCACAGCAACCTCACAGTTGTTGAAGGTGATCGAGTAACAGCCATCTGTAATGGATCTGGATCGCCGTTACCTGAGGTGGACTGGCCTGTAAATGGCTTGCACTCTGTCACTGCTCAAGAGGTATTGAGAACACATACACAAATTTACATTACACATATCAAAGAAACCACACTACAGCCAGATTTGCAAGTGTTACATATTATATGTGACACCAGCTGGCTGCTGGCAGTTCCTTCATAAATATTTGATTTTCGTCTGTTGCCATCAATAATTGACTCTGTTTCTAAGAGAAACAAACCATTGTGCCACCGTTGAGTTTTTCTCAGATTGGAAATATTAAAGTCTTATTTTATTAATTAGCTGTAGCTAGTTACGTGGAATTATAGAGGACATATGGCAGTTTATCTTCAATGACAGGCAAGTTTTGTAAATGGATTGTGTGAACTGGAGCGAGCTACTTACTAGTCATAAGGAATAAAAGCTTCTTTGGTTGCTTTGGCTGTATGTTCAAGATTGTTGTCTGGATGAATGATGAAATATTATCCAGTTAACTTTGGATGCATTTGTATGAATGTTGACACATAGAAAGTTTCTACCTCTTTATTCTTCCTGTTGCTGTTGTCAGCCTTAAAATTAATATCGGCCAGTTTTGCTAAAGTGCTACTTCCAGTGTTAGCCATATTTGATAAAGTCATAAAAGAAGCACTCTGTTTGACAGATGAGTTGTTCCTTGTTACTCCACACTTTCTTTCCACCATGTTGATGGAGGTAGATTTTATTTTATTGATTCGTAAAACGTTGGTTTACCTCTTGTGCTGGCCCCTCTGAGGTTCTGGGGCCTGTACTATATAGCATGTTAATCATACCCAGGTTGTCTTTTTCTTCTCTGACTTCACTGCCCAATCACAAACATGGCAGGTCTAGAGCTGTATAATTTTCAGAAGAAAAATAAACTATGAACTTAAACCAATATGAGGAATTAGTGGGCTTATCATGTGCCTGTCCCATTATTTAAACAAAAGACAAAAAAATAAAAGTATAATCACAACTGTGGACTCCAATAAAATAGTAAATGAATTAGATGTATTCTTCTGCCAGAGTTAGTCTTGTTCTTCTAGCTGCAACCTTGCCGATGTCAAATAGTCTTACGAGCAAGTAAAGAATAAAAATAAAAACATATTTTACCAGTAAGTAGGCTTACTGCAGATCTTATAAGGTCAACTAGTACGAGCCTTTAGGACTTTAATTAGCCTCTATTTTAGGATGATATTGCTGTCTCCCGCCGGCCCTTCTATCTTCTCAGAGAATTCCCTCAGCTCTTCTTCATCCTGGTTTACATTCATCCCAAACCAAAGCTACAGCAGCCACACAGCACATAAAGAACATTGTAAATAGACTTGAACTCACATCCCCAGAGTCTCCCAAATTCAGTCTGGGAGACTTCCGCTGACAAGTCACTGAAAGGATTTCAACAGTTTATCACCTGCACCACCTGCTGAGGGAAGACTCTGGATAAATGTTATGGATCTGTTCCAAATGCATATAGGTCTATGGGTCTTTCTCCTCTGGTCTCTGCTGACCATCACACCATCCTGCGTCCACCAGCCTATACCCTAGTAATAAGAAGGACAGAAAATGTTGTCAAAAACATAAAGCATTGGACAAATGACAGCACTGCAACTCTGCTGGGATGCTTCGAATTCAAAGACTGGGACAACTTCCTGGCATCCTCCAGCAACATCAGCGAGCAAGTGGACACAGTGTCCTCATACAGCTCCTTCTGTGTGGACAAGGTCATTCCTACGACAAAAATAACAATCTACCCTAACAACAAACCCTGGACAACCAAAGAACTCATAGAAATTCTCAATAAAAACAATATTTGACACACGCACTGAATCTGGAAAAAAGGGAGTTTAACAGGGAGGTAAAAAAAAAACAAAGCCAAGCTGATGTATAAGAGCAAGTTGGAGGAAATATTCACTCAAGGGAGTCTCTGCTCAGCTTGCCAGGGGATTGTGAACACAAGTCCCACTATCCACAGGACCATCCACGTTGCCGATAGCAGCCTAGCATCCCTCCTCAATGGACAGACATCGCCATCCAGATAGATGCAATCACTCCTCCCTCACGTCTGTGGGACCAGAACTCACCTTCAACACAGAGGAGATGGTGAGAGCCCTCAAGAGGACCAAGGAAAATACATCTCCTGGTCCAGACAGCATCAGCAGTTATGTTCTGCATTGCTGTTGAGAGCAGCTGGGAGGCGTGTTTCACCTCCTGTTACAAAGATCTATGGATAGATCCCTATCCATGGAAACACTCCATAATGGTCCCCATTCTGAAGAACTCTGTTGAGGCTTTGGGTGACCTCAGGCCTGTTGCCCTCGCCTCTCTTGGGATGCAATGTATGGAGAGGGTCATAAAGAAGCACATCATCAAGGTGACGAACCCACTGATGGACCCTCTCCAGTTTTGTGCAAGCGGGGGGGTTGATGATGCAAAAATATACATTATGGGCACTGTACACAGGCACCTAGACTGCCATCTAGTTATGTATGCAGATCACACAGTTCTCCTGTCCCTGATCTCAGGCCCATCGCATCATCACAGCTCAGCACTCCATGAGTTTGTGGAAAGGTGTGATAAATCTTCCACAAACTCCAAAGAGATGGTGAACACCTTTTCCAGCAAGCAGAGGGAGCTGGCGACAACAGCTGTCAGCACAATCCATGGGATGAAGACAGAGATAGTGGATGAATACAAATACCTGGGCACAGTTTTTCTTAACACATTCAAATTTGCCTCCAACACTGAGGAGATCCTCAGAAAATGCCAGCTGTGGCAGTGTCTACTGAGAAGCACTTTTGGTCTCAGCAGAAACATTCTAAGGACAATTTACTTTTCCTTCATTCACCCTTTTGACAGTATAGCCCATTGTACCGGGCTGGGATTAAGACTCCTGTTCAACACTGTTCGGTCTGGGGCTTTCACCGCCATTCAACACTGCAGCATAGCGGGCTCCGGTATATGGTGACTTTCTGTTGCATTCATTTTGATTGGCTATCAGTGGGAATCCCCGTATATGAACAAGCGATTCAGTCATGATATAAATTATGCAAATGAAGTAAAATGACATCATTTGACCCCAAAAATCACTAGAAAACAGGATTTTCGCTACATCGTTTCCAAAATGTGTATAAGCGATCAAAACTAACTAAGGAATTACAAGACTGTGGCTGATGTCTCAGTACATAAGAACGAATAATTAATTGCATATATCTCTGGTAATTATGAAGTTTATCTTTACCTTTTCTTTTTCTCCATGGGATCTTCTAGGAATGGGTAGCAGAAGTTAGATTTTATAGAGATTTGTTGTCTCTGTTATAACCTTCTCTGCCGTCCACTTTAAGTTACCAACATCAATGTTATATTGTACCTCTGAAAACCCAAGTTTTTACCTGAAGTTACTTCACTGACCTCAAATCCTGCTTCGTAGTACAGGAGTCTGCACCTGAAGTCTTTTCTTGATTGCTGACAAGGAAATATGTCTACACCCTGGTGTATGGCTGGCCTCGCTGTCAGAACAAGATGTGTCTTCACTATGACTTTGTGCTTATTAACAGACTTGTGTGCTTCAGTCTTCCAGCTTTGTCAACTTTTCTAGTTTTCTTGTGCACACTTGCTTTTATTAGAATCAACCAAACTGTTGATTTGATTATTTTTTCTTATCATCATCATCATCATCATCATCATCTTCCCCTGCATGGATGCATTCTTACTTCTCATAATGCCACACATCCCCAGCTCAATCTAATCTGCTGTCAAATCCAATTTGTTAGTTATCACTATATTTCACTGTCCACCGTCATCACTCGTGTTTTTAACATGTCCAAAGTCACCAAACCCACCTTTAACTTTTTTAAAAATTTTAGTATATATGTACACATGAGAAACCAAAGATTTGATAGACTCTTCTGTCACCCCAGTGGGGACTTATGGATCTTCTGATGTCTGGTAACCAGTTACAGTGTGCAACAGAATTGAGTACACCTGCAATATCACTAAAAACTCAAAGGATTCCAAATTGTATCACAGTAATTTTATTATTTAGATTGACCAGCAGGATATTTCCTCTTGTCCCAAAGTAAAAACCCAATGCAACAAAGGTGAACACGATCACTGATACACAAATTAAAACATTTTTGATCATTGAAACAAACTGACTACTCCTGTGAATTCCAATTTGTTGAGTTTCTGGGACTGCTCAACAAGTGTGACATCAGTGCATATTGTCAACATCTATTGCTTGCTCTTTGGCACAAAATTGCAGGATGAAGCTTTGTTGAAACCCTTTAAAAACAAATGCTCATGCGGTGTGTTGTCCACCATGAATACCTGCAGAAATACCAAAATACACAAAAAAGACTCCCAGCCTGCTGAAGCTTGATGGAAAAGGAATATTTCAGCATGTTAGCGGTTGAATGCACACTGCAAAACTCTCTCAAGAATATCTAAATACGTAAAAACTGAAAAAAACAAAGACCAACTGAACAAAATATTCTCTGAAGAATGATAGAACATTTCTCCACAAAATGTTTAACACTGGTGCCCTACATGTGAAAGAGGATTGAGTCTTCATTAGAAATAAAGGTGGACATATGAAGGACTGAAATAATGAAAGCTTGTTGCAATGAGCGGCTACTGTGGGGGTTATATTTTCAATATAGTTCAAGTAAACTCTTTAATCTTACGTAAGAGTAAATACCCTGCTGTTCAACTTGGAATAATGCAATTATTGAGAGGTGAAACGTGATCAGTTGTGATATTGCAGTGAGGTATACGTACTTTTGTCGTATTTTGTAAACAGAATCAGTAACAATTTAATAAGTAACATGCAACTGATGCTCATGTACCATTACAGTTAAAGGTATACACTGCACAATTACAACAAACAAACAAAAAACAGCAGTTACATGACTTTGTATGTAATGTACATTGTACATTTAAATAAAAAGTATTCTATGAATGATTACTTGCAGGAATTTGGGGGCAGACACACAGTGTCACAAATGTTACAGGAATGGCTTCATAGTTGCCACTTTCAGTCTTCCTGTTTCTACTGTGGTGTAGGACCCAACGGTTACAACATTATCTCCCAGTGCACCAAAACGATGACTAACAGTAGTTACTGGATGTAACTCTAGTTTTATGAACACATAGGAATTACAACAATGACTTTTTTGTTTTTTATTTTTATTTTTTTATGTTAGCCTACATCAAGGGTGTCCAATCCTGGTCCTCGAGGGCCACAGTCCTGCATGTTTTAGATGTTTCTCTCTTCCAACACACCTGATTCAAATGATCAGCTC